TGATCTTAAAGTCCTGTACATGTGGCAATTTGGAGAAAAGAGGATCAGTAGAGTATGATACTTACTGTAGACAAACATCTCCTGATGCTTAACTATAAACATCAAAATAAAACCTAGAGCTACTTTCAAAACAGTAATACTTACCTCTTATGAGAGAGACTGATTTTCCTGACAAAAGAAAATACCAAACTCATAGCTGTTCAATAGAGTCATACAGAAAAAATAGGTTTTGATTGGCTTTTGAAACATACTTTTATTATGCTTTAGACAGCACAACATTCATCTTAGGCCATGGAAGCAAGTAATTATCAAAGAAGTCCACACAAATCGTTCTGGAGCAGAATTACAGGATTTTAATCACAACCCATGGTCAGTGGTTTTTTTTTTTTTTTTCCCCAATGGCACAAAGAAAATCAATATCCCCAAGACATTTCTGTTCTGTTCTCAGCATCACTTTTCACATCTACCATGAAAAACTACTTTTTGTGTTAAATATCACTAATTTCTTAATATTGCGTTGCCTCTACAAATTCAGATTATGCAAAATCTGCAGAGCTTTGCATACATAAAATGCAAAAAAGCTTTGGCCAGTCTGAGCAAGTACCCACAGTATAGATGGCAGAATTTACCTGGTTATAGTGAGTTTCACAATAAGCCAGTCCTTTTTTCTCATAGTGTCGGTGCCCCAAGAATGGCTTCTCACATTTGGCACAAACAAAGTGCTGTAAAAGAAAAAAAGACATTCAGTGGTAGGCAAAGTGAGTTTTCCATCACCAGGGAAAAACTTGCATGGCTACAAACCACGGCTCAATGCGAGACACTTAATCATAGAATGGTCTGGGTTGGAAGGGACCTTGAAGATCATCTAGTTCCAACCCCCCTGCCAATGGGCAGGGACACCTTCCCCTAGACCAGGTTGATCAAAGCCCCATCCAACCTGGCTTGAACACTTCCAAAGATGGGGCATCCACAACTTCCCTGGGCAACCTGTTTCAGTGTCTTACCACCTTCACAGTAAAGAATTTCCACCTAATATCTCGTCTAAATCTATCCTCTTTCAGTTTAAAACTGTTACGCCCTAATGCTTTAATAAAAATCAGACAGGAAAATCTTTATGAAAGTAAAAGAAAAGAGGAAACATTTAGTCTACTGTAGTAATTAAGAATTGTATTAAAGTTAGGTAGAAGACCTGCTGAAAGGGCGATCACCTTGTGTCTATACTGATATACTTGCGGACTGTTGTCTTGCTTGTTTCAGAGAAGAGAAACAGCAACATAAACATGGTTGGTATGAATGCACTTGAAATGAGCAGCAGCATCTTTCCCAGTTCAAGCCCTAGGAGGCTTAAATCACTAAAAACAGAAATCACTAAAAAACTTCAGGGCAAGCTGTAATGACTCAGCTGAAAGTTATAGAAGCAATTGAGCAGAAAAGGCTTAAAAACCAAGAATTGCACTGGCTCTGCCTACATTACAAATTCTAATACTGTAATGAACCTCTTAACTGGGCTTGGAGAGCATATGTACATCATAGTGAAAATGTAAATTTACTAGTAAGTAAATGCTTTTCAGTGAACCATATTCTGCAAGAAACTTTACTCAGGCATTTTTAAACTAAGGTTATTATTGTTGTGAAAGCATAGCTTGCTTAGGCAACCCTGACGACCCTGCTGTACACATTCACTCACATAAGGTGAAGACAACCTGAAATATAAGCAATTGATTTTTATCTGAATTCATGTATTACAGGTCTACAGCTTCCAACTAGCACTACTCCTCTTCCAGAATGGCTCCCGAAGGAAGTTTTAGATTCAGAGATGCCTCACCTCAACATGCCATTGCTTTCCCAGAGCATTGACCACTCGTCCTTCAATGGGCCTGCGGCAGGCTCCACAGATGGGGATTCCCATTTTGTCGTGGCAGGGCAGGCAATACAGTTCTCCCTTCAGTTCCCGAGCCTCAGCAGTCAGCTCCTTCCTGAAAACAGAAACATGTCCCTGAGCTAAGAACACCAGGAGAAGCTCTTTAGCGCCAGAGATGAAGTTTTGGAAGACTAAACTTGTAAGTTAACATACTTTGACAACATTCATGCTACTAATGCAAAGTCATTAAATTAAGCTAGTGAAATACAGTTATTGTCAACTCATCTTTCTAAAATTGCTTTTGTAGTGTGCCAGACGAGAACATAGGTGCAATACCATGTCTTTGACTAGATACTCTGGTAGAAACATGAGGTGCACTTACATGGAACAATGCAGTAACATGCAAAGTCTCAAGCTGTCTCTGAATGGGATAGCTCAGGTACAAGGACCATCCTAGTAATGCTCAGCACTGAGCCGTTTACTTTATTCTTCAGCACTGTTACCCACTCTAGGGCAGTACTGTGCTCCAATTATACTGCCTTCACAGTGAGTAATTCTGGTCAGACAGGTATCAGCATGGTAATGGACTGTGCCAGAAGACTGATACAGTTCACCAAGTCATCTTTTTTTTCTATCCAGGAATGCAAAGTTAAACTGTTTTGAACAGCCTGGCAACAGCTATTTTTGGACAACACTATTATTGTAATCTGCACACAGCCTTTCAGGTCAGTTCATTCCAAGGAACTATTTTCATTTTCAGTATAAAATAGTGTCATTCAAGTTTAGGATAAAAGAACATTGAATGGCAAAATGAAACTAAAGTTCCTGTAGGCTTTCCAAATTTATTTTGATTTCTCCTCACACAATTTCTGCTTGTTCAACAATGTGAAGGCAGCAAAGTTTAGGCCTTGGAAAGGACTGCACTGCTGACTGTACTGTTTTTCTCTCTCCATTTTTTGTCAGAGTTTAGAGTACGAGAACATACCCACAGTGGGTGCAGTTGAAGTGATCCGGATGGTAGGAATCATTCCTAAACATCAGAGGCTGCTCATCAATTATCAAGTGGCACTTCTGACAGATGTACTTGCCCAGTCCCTTGGCTTTTTCACGGTTATGGCATGGCCTGCACAGATGCCTGGTTGAATAAAGTAAACACAAGAAAATATTAAGAAATTTTTTCTCCTAAAACACCGTACAGCGCATGCTGTAGCATGTACTTTATACAACAGAAGTGTCTTCTGAGTTTAGACTAAACATAATTTAGTTTAGCATCCTGTCTTTCACACCAGATGCACAGAAAATATGTGGATAGAGCACTTTAGTATCCTGTCTTTCACACCAGTTGCACAGAAAAGAATATGTGGGTAGAGCAGTCAGAGTTGTATTTCCTTAGAACACTCCTCCAGCATTCACTGATTTATATCCCAGGAGGGATATCACCCTGTCATTCTTCTAGGTATCCTTTCCAGTTCTTCTCGATCTTTTTTGAGAGGTGGGCAAGGAAAGTTGGCAACACCCTCTTTCTATTAGCAACTATGGGATCCAGCCATAACAGAAGCATTACAGCACTGGGAGGGAGTTGAGGAGAGGGAATAAAAAATATTAAACCAAAGCATGTTGCTTGAATGCCTTTACCTTGCTGGATTTCTTAGTCTTCAATAGCTAGGGCAAACAAGAGACCACTGAATACTAGCTCTTCTGCCTACAAATTCCTTTTACTCCTAAATGAAAGAGAATAAAGAACTACGCAATTTTTCAATTTTGTGTGGTAAATGCAACTGTGTTCCTATCACATGTTCTAGAACACATTACAAGTACTGTCCTGAACAGGTAGATAAGCCAAATTTCTGGTAGAAAAGCCTAGGCAAAGGCATAAAAGATTTCTGTAAAGGCTGATGGAATCTACCAGTTTTATCCCAATATTTAGGAGCTATAAAAAGAAGCTGTTCAGTTTACTTGCCTATTACCTAGCCCTCTAGCTGCAACGCTGCAGCCTGGTAAGAATTTATGATAAAACGAAAATGACAGAAGAATGACTTCTGTGGGTTTCTTTGTCACACACCAGACAAGCCTGCTTGCTTCCTTTCACTGTATCACTGTGTGAAACACTCACTGAGATTTACAGGTCATTCTCGGAAGACACCAGACAAAAGGAAAAGTTCAAATGGAAAGGGTAGATTTATGGCTCAAGTAGTGGGTTCTTTGCAGGGGCCCCTTCCCAAATTCTGCTGTGATGAATCACTTACCCTTAGATCTGTAAAATGGGGATAAGAATACAACACAGATGTTGTTGTGAGACCTCAAACATTTATGACCCTCAGCTGGCAGGCGCCTGTCTAAGTGCTAAGTATCATTATTATTCTCTCCAAATCTGAGTCCTCCTGTCAGCAAGTGTCTCTCTACAGGACTGGAACCACTGTCTGCCCAGACAGAGTCCAGAAAAAGCAGACAGCACCCCATTATAAGGAAACATGCAGCTGTGCTCATCTCAGCATAAAGGCATCAATTTTATTCGGCACTGTCAAATGCAGAGTAATTATACGGGGCAGGACATAGGGACCCTGAAGCAAGTGTCCTGAAAGAGACCCCTCTCATTCAGCTGAATAAGATGCCTTCAGCCATTTGCACTGATAAACCATTATCAACCCCTCCCCACTCACAAATCCTCTCTGCTGTCCCATAGACCCTCCTCTATTGCAAGCAAAGGGAAGTGCTGGACAGGCTAAGCTGTTACCATAGCAGCCGCCCCTCTCCCTCTCCCCCTCCCCACTCCCACCATTATGGAATTATCCCATTCTGAAATGTCCTGTTGTGTCTATTAATACCAGACTTCCCCCAAACAATGCTTCTCTCCACCCTCCTAAAATAATCAGGGGACTCCAAGAAGTCTGTGTTCAGGGCTGGGAGTTCAGTAGCAGCCTTTAGTGAGCACCATGAACACTGGAATATTCATACAGTATATTCATATCTATACCAGCAGCAGCAGCCCCAGTGCCAAGAGCTCAGCTGGGATGAAAACTGCTCTTCAAGTGCTGGGGTGTCCTTTCCCCTGCTCTGTTGTGTGACTGAGCTGATAATGCGCTATCAGAGCTAGAAAGACACTATATAGAGGAGCTCCCTCTCCACCCTCAGCAACACTGCAACTGTGCTCTGTTTGGATCATCTTGGTGTTTTCACCGTTGCTGCTTCTATTCGGTTTGCTGGCATCAGAAGGAGTTCCTTGAGGTTTTCCCCAAAAGGATCCTATACTCCACCCATAGGACTGCACGGTAAAGAGGTAAGAGACAAACTTCTGTTAGCAGAATAATGAAGGAGCTTTCCTAATGGCATTAGTTTTAGCCGGTGTAGTGAGGTGGACAGACACACACACACAAGGGCGGATGAATATAATGGAAATGTTTGAAACTAAGAACAGGCAGCAGTTTTTGAACTTCAAAGAATAATTTCCTCACTCTTCTTTACAACACTACTCCAAAGTTTTCAAACTTCTATACCTAATGTACATCCATTTGTACCAGGAAAACTGACAGTTGTATGGTATCTCCCCTGCTCTCTGACACTGCTTTGATGCTCACAAGAAACAAGTATTTCAGCTGAAGGGTGGGAGGCTCAGCAGGGAGTGATTTTCAGGAGAATTATTTCAGTCAGAAGTGCACTATTTCTAATGAAGAGTACTTTCAGTGAAAGATAGGAGACATTCCCATTTGACAGGACACTACAACCATAATCATAAAAACCCACAAACTAGCATAGTCCCAAACCAGAAACTGCTCTAGCTGAGAGCAAGAACAGGAATTTCTGATATCCAGTACAAACTCCAACATATAGTTCAAATTTATCCACAGTGGGCATTATAACAAAAGCTCCAAACTAGCCAGGTACCTAACTTACAATAAGCTAAATATTTCTTCTGCTGCTTAATTGTTTCATTAATGATAAAGAGAGCATCTGATGAAACAGTAATCAGGTTGTGTCTATACTGACAGCCTTGTGGATTGTTATCTTGCTCGTTTCTGAGGAGAAGAGAAAAAATACAGGCATAAAATACGGCCAGTGTGCATGCATTTCAAATGAGCAGTGACATTCCCATTACAGCTCAACCCTGGGAGGCCTGGGATAATAGCTCATTCCAGAATAGTGCTCTGTTTGGCAATACGTAAATCACTAAATAGTCGCACAACACCAAGAGTGCAATCCGAGCGGAAATTATTGGACAATAAGCCAGACTCCTAAAGGAGTTTTCTGTCTGTGGAGTCAAAGCCTCTTGCGCCATATAGCTTAGCACAAACTACACCTTCTAGGTCATTTGTGAAGGTTTCTAGTTTGCTCTTAGCATTCATACAGGCTAGTACAACAAGCTTTCTAGGACTTTGAGTGCTTTTTTGTAAGCATGACAAACCAAAAAGAAGGAAAAAAAAATTAAACACATTTATTTTAAATCGATAGGATAAGAACAGGCAAAATAGAAGTGAAACTGTGCATAAAAGCAAAGGGCTTTCCACATTGTCTACAGAACACACTGCCAAAGAACTATTACTTAAAAAGTTGTAGCATTTTGTTTAAAACGTATCAATTTAAAAATAAGCTCAGCAATTAATTCTAGTGACATACCAGCTTTTTTCCTAACCTACTGAAGTGCTACACCACAGTTTTCACATCAACAATCAGAATTGTAAAAAAACCCCCAACAAAACACCAAAAAATCCCTCGATTAAAATTCCCTTCCCATCTAAAACCTAAGCAAAATTAGAAAGAGGCCCACTTCCCTCTTCTATGATTTCTGACCAGGCAATGAAAAATACCTCCCTTCACCTTGCTCTAAAAAGTAAATTAACTAACAGCAGCTATTCTATGAAGGCACTCACTCAAAAAGACTGAATCTATTTCAATTTTATCATTAGTTCTAAGCCTCTCCCTTCCTGACACTGACATACTGGGCTTCTAGATAGCTCGGATATTCTCCTTTCTACTCCACCCCACAGTATTTTGCAGTGACAGCATGTCCAGATAGAAATCAATGGCAGACGCAACGCTGCCATCAGTGAGGACAAAACTCCCAACTTTCAAGTCTTGGCTATTCCAAGACTGACACTCAGCCGAATCTGAATCCCAAAGATCCTCTAGGAAATCAGCTCAAAGAGAATCAGTTCAATGTATCATGCTGCTAAAGCCCTAGTATTTAGCTTGTGAACAGGGAAAAGGTGTCCAGAAAATCTTACCACTTTTTGTTGATGCATTAGACAACTCTTGCTTCCGCCGTTTCAGCTGGTACAAGCCAGGATTTACTGCTTTCTCAGCGGTGTCACAACCATGTACAGATTAACGCTTAGCCATCAGACCGCCCGATAGCCGACAGGTGTATACATAAAGACCACCTGATAACATTTTTCACAGATGAAAAGCGTATTTAAACAAAGTGCCTGACACAAAAAAGGCTACATGGACACAACCTATCATCAGGTGATAGGTACCATTGTAAATTAACAGCCAGTAAAAAGACATGGTCTCGTTGTATTTCTCTTTTGTATGCAATAGAAAAATACATATTTAAACCAAGTCCATCCAAGAAGGACAAGTATTTGAGCATTCAACGTTACTGTCACATACAGACTTCAAAATCTTGTGTTCAAAAATACTTGCAGGCTTTACTTTGTAAGGGGCAAATAAACACTAGGAACAAAAATTGCAGGATCCTCTGCAAACCCAGGGAATTCACACAGAAAACTGCAACAGGGAATTTTCCTTTTGTATATGAAAGCAGGATTTCACATGTACTTTTATAGATAAAATGTCCCTTGGAAAAAAGGGCTGTACAGTCTTCCTTGCACATGTACTTCTAGTAATTCCAGGATAAGAATGTGTTGCCATCTCTAGGACCACAATGAAGCATGCAGCTGGCAGCAGGCAGTGAGTACCCACACACCCAAACCTAGTCTTTTTTGTGCCATAAACATGCAGGGTATCTAGGCAATGCAAGGAGTAAGAAGGCCCCTCTGTGGCAATACGAAGAAATTTCAGTTTCTGAACTTCATTCTGTCTCCCTTCTGTTGACTTTTGTCTCTTCAACTGTGAACTAGCTAGTGTAGTTTTCTGTCACCTGGAAGTGACAGCAGCCAAACAAAAGATGGTAATTACCTTGGAATTTTCTTCACATTTTCCAATATTTTGGTCTGTTCTTAATCCCATTTCAGTTTCTTGAGTAGCCACCAATATTTTTAGACATCTGAATAATCAGTTCTGTTGGGAAGCTGGATGCACTGCATAATGCCTTGGTTCAACTGCCTAATGGTGTAAGATTTCAGCATGCAGCGTAGCTTCTGCCTGAGACTAAAAATTTTAGCTAACAATGTCAGCAATCGTCTTAAAATTCTAACCTCAGTAGAGGAAAATGGATGTATTTAAAGATGTATTGAATATTATGGAGAAATGGTCAATCAGTACAAAATGCAATGGTAAGCACAATGGAGTTACTCCTGTATATAGTGTAACACCTCTCAGGAATCCGAGAAACAGAGACAATGCCTGCACTTCCCTACCACCTATACACACAGAGGAGAAATGTATGCAAAACCATGGGTAAGGTGCCCAGAAAATCTTACCACTTTTTGTTGATGCGGTTCAGGACCCTGCAAACAACAGAGACTGGTAAGGCTAAGCTCAGTTTTCCTAAGCTGCTACTAGGAAAAGGCCCTGGATAAGCTACAGTAGAGTTCAGGCTTTTGAGAAAGAAAGAGAGAGTTATGCTTGGAGAAGAAGAAAGCTGCAGGGAAGGATAACACTTTGACAAGTAACTGACAGCGTGAGCATTACTAATAATCTTTTCTGAGTCAATTCAGTGCTTTTTGCTGTTCAAATGAGATGTTACTACCCATCTGAAAAGTTTCCTCCTAAACTGGAACTAGACGCATTTGCCTTAAATACAGGACTTTAGACTAAAATAATTCTCGAAGACTTTCAGGAACCCTGTCGGTTTTTTAATAACAGCAATACCTGTCCTGTCTTCCACCTCTTCTAGGAACAAGACAGATATTCTAAACCAGGTCACCTTACAACACATACCTGTGCTCAGAAAAGCTAACTTCTTAGGAGCTCTTCAGTCCTGAATCAGGCTTTCAAATTAAACATAGCAAATACTTTCTAGCTAGACATACAGAACCCACTTCCACTCTTCCATTAACCAGACACATAAGCACTTCACTACTCTGTTATTCAACTGGTCTCAGCACAGGTTAGAGACAAGCTCATCATCAGCTAGCTAGCTCTTCATAATGGTTCCTTCAACAGGAATTAATGGTCTGGAAAACCTAGCTGAGCAGGAGGTATTCAGAATTTTTATATAAGGGTTTAAACTCAGACTGACCTGTTGTATTAAATACCAACATAGCAAAGAAGAGACATCACTGATTTCCATGCGTGGGTTTTTTGGGTGGGTTTTGGTTTTTTTTTTTCTTCTTCACAAAATCAGGCTCTTTTGTAATATACTGTCTCAATTCTTTCAGGTTTGTTTTTTTTTAGTTCAAAACTGTGGTGAAAAATGAATGGCCCAGCAGATCCCTCAAGCCTATTCTTCAGTTGCTCAAATCAATCAAATTTCTCTTCAGAAACATCAGAGCAATGTGGCAAAGAGACACACCTCGAGAACATCCTTTTTGCCACTTTCTACTTCCTGGACTTCATCCTGGCTTTTGTCGGCAATGCTCTGGCTCTTTGGCTCTTCATCCGGGACCAAAAGTCAGGCACACCTGCCAACATTTTCCTGATGCATCTTGCTGTGGCTGACCTGTCCTTCGTCCTGGTACTTCCCACCCGGCTGGTGTACCATTTTTCTGGTAACCACTGGCCATTTGGTGAGATTCCATGCAGACTCACTGGCTTCCTTTTTTACCTCAACATGTACGCCAGTATCTACTTTCTCATGTGTATCAGCATTGACCGTTTCTTAGCCATTGTGCACCCTGTCAAGTCCATCAAGCTCCGCAGATCCCTTTATGCCCATTTGGCCTGTGCCTTTCTATGGGTTATAGTTGGGGTTGCAATGGCACCTCTGCTGCTCAGTGTGCAGACAGTCGAGATGAAAAACACAACCATCTGCCTGCAGCTCTACAGAGAAAAGGCATCACACCATGCCCTTGTGTCCTTAGCAGTAGCGTTCACCTTCCCATTTATTACTACAGTGACTTGCTACCTATTAATCATCCGAAGCCTGAAGAGTGGGAATAGAGTTGAGAAACACCTGAAGGAAAAAGCTATCAAAATGATCATCATGGTCCTCATGATCTTTCTGATTTGCTTTGTACCTTATCACGTCAACCGCTACATTTATATTCTCCATTACAATGGGACCAAAACTTCCTGTGAAACGCAGCGGATTCTAGCCCTCAGTAACCGCATTACTTCCTGCCTCACAAGTCTAAATGGTGCCTTTGACCCAGTCATGTATTTTTTTGTAGCTGAGAAATTCCGTGAGGCTTTGTGCAATCTGTTTTGTGTTAAAAAGACTGTAATGTTGCCTCAAACATACGAGGGTAAGACAAATGAAAGCTCACTAAGTGCTAAATCTGAACTGTGAACATGACTCTTGTCACTGCTTCGACTTAAGAATGCTCTATTCCACCAAAATCAGCTGACAGCACAAATACGCAGCAAGATAGTCCACCCAGAGTCAAACATCCTGAGGAGGGAAGTTCCATTGTTTTTATGGGACTGCAATTAGCAAGAACCCCTCTGACAACAGAGATCACATGCTCTTGTCTTACTGAAACTGCAAAGTACAGTTCTACTGATCTCCAAGTTGTGAAACCAAGGGCTGAACACTTAGGAATAGGGAAGGGAGCAAAGAGGCTGTTTAAATGGACATCTAAAATAAAACCAAACACACACCAAAAAAGCCCCACAACTTAATTCCCAAAGCAGTCAGTAACAACTCTTCCCTGCACAATGCATACAGCCTACTTTAAAATTTTATATTGTGCCAGTAGTAGAGCTCTGCTGCTGAGATAGACTTACCTAATGAAAAGACAGCACGCTTACACATCTTGTTCAAGTCCCCAAATTCAAAGCATAAATAAATAAATCACAGTAGACCAAAAATTGGTTCTAAATGGTGGCAAGAAAAAAAGAGCAAAATGCTGCAATGCACCCAACCCGGACTGGAATTAAGATAGGACTTAGGATTTTTTTACTTCTTCCCAGCATTCAGAGATGGAGATGAGCACTAAACTTCACACTACCTTTTCTATCTGCCCTCTGCAATTGTCTCAAAGCTGCAGACAGAGGTTGGACAACATTTACTACACTGCCTCTTTTACGTAGTTCTCTGCAAAACATCAGATATCCTGATAAACCTCAAACTAAAGAATGGAAAAACGCTCCGTAGCAATACAATATTCATCCTCACTACATACAGAATCGTAAACATATGAATGCAAATGGCAACAGTGAAGAAAAAGTAAGCATATGAAGAAGTGAAGTCTACTTTGTCCAGAAGAGATTCCTATCTTTGAAGTGATTCACAATTATTTTTTGTGACTTATCTAGCAAGACTATTCCTTCACTACAGATAAAATAGTGATTATCTTAACTATTCTCACTGATACAAATTGCATCCAGTGGAATACGTCTGGAAATGACAAGCAGACTGGGGAAGACCAGGTACGATGAGAAGCGGGAAAAAGAGCCCAAGAATTTTCAATAATATTTAGTAGGAGATCACTTCTATGCTATGGGGATAAATATTCCAGGAAGTCACATGACAGGTGAATTATATCTTTTATGTACAGATATATACACATGCACATCCCTTTTCTATGCTTTGGGAATGAGCTCCTTACCATTTTAGACTTGGTCTACAAATTATGAAATCAAACACCCTTTATCTTGCCTGAACTGCTTCAACCCTGACTACTTTCCCAAAACACCCTAGGTTCTATCACAACAGCCCATTCTAACAAGCTTAGATGTCAAAAGAAAATCAATTATGCTGAATTCCAAAAACTAAGGCACAGAAGCTGGACACACGATGGAAGAGAAAAGGGAGTTGAGAGGACTCCCTGCTGGACAGGATACAAGTATGTAACCTTTCCTTCCCTTCTTCGGCATTTAGTTAGTGAGAATATAAACTCTAGGAAACTACTAGCCTTTGCCCAAGACTTATGAAAGCCTGAAATTAACTATGAATTGTCCATCTGCTAACTGCTGAATTGTTTTATTTTCTTATCATGGTATGCTTTTGTACAAGTTCCCTTTTATGTTTTTATTTCTTACTTCTTAATTAAATGCATTAATCAACCTTTAGGACTCATTTTTATATTTCTGTATATAAAATGAATGATTTCCAAAGATCAGGAGAATTGCATGGTGAACAGGCTTTGCTGTAATCCTCATGTTATTCTCTTGGCCTTCTGCTGTATCTTGATTTCCTGCTCAGCAGCTTACTTCATAAATAGCCTGCCCAGGATGACATAATCCCTTTTTCTCACTTGCTATTCAACCTTTTGCCTGAAATCCCTTTCTTTTCCAGAACTCATCCACTAGCTACTAAAATTTGAGTTTCTGCTTTCTACATGTTTCATTGGATGAAGAACACTGTCCTTCATTCCATTTCCCATCTCCTATTAGGCTATTCCTTAAAGCTTCTTCTGTACCTTTTCAAGCTTCACCTCTCAGCGTACAACCAACTGACCACTCTCAAAATCTCACTACTGTATCAATAACATACTGATAAAACTTTCAGAGCTCCTTCTCTATCTTACCTGCCAGCATTCTTCACAAAACCCAGGTCAGCAAGTGCTACATCGCAGAGCTCACAGCGGAAGCATTCTGGGTGCCAGTTGTTATTCATTGCCTTGATAACACGCCCAATAATGAACTCGCCTGCAAAAGGCAAGCAACACCTTGAGATACATGCAGAAGACAGTCCTATCAAAAGTCTACTGCCCTTCATAATCCTTCCACTTTAATTCCACAAAAACTATTACAGTCTAACTTTGAAACAAACCCGATTATTATCACAACCAGAATACCCCAAATCATGCTTTGTTTCCCTCCAGAGCTTCTGCTCCCTAAAATGACCTCAACAATCCCAGCCCAGGGCTGGATGTCACTGCAATGGTGTGAGGTTTGCACAGCCCTGTAGCTGTTACTCCATGGTGTTGACATGCACTACATCTTACCACACTCCCCGCAGCAAGGAGCAAACAGCATCTGAAAGTCATGCTCGCAGTACTTCCGACCTTCAAACTGTGAACAAAACAAGAGAGAAGGACCCCTCATGAATAACTGAACTCCTTACATCCTCAACATAGTGCAGCAGGATTTTCCATTAAACTGACCAATTAGTCAAGTTCAATCGTCTTCCAGTGCTAGCCTCACCTGTTTTTAAACTCATTAGGGTTTTTCTTAAAGAAATATCCAGATATGGCTTCAGCCTCATAGTGAATTTGCAGAGTCAACAGTTAAATTAATAGCAATGCTGCTACAAGACAGTAAAAATCTTTAAGTGTTCAAAGCCCTTTTCCTATAGTTGGCTCTAATTTCATTTTTGTTTTAGTTTTTTTACTCATGTAATTTGGAACTACTCCTCCTACATGAGGCTAAAACTCACGGCAAATGCAGAATGTTTAAAATAATGTGTTATCCAAAATATGCGCTTGCACATATACTGTAGAAATAGTTCAACCTCATTTTTAAATGGGTTCACCAATTTCAGTTGCCCAATTGGAAAAGTTTGGTGCAAAATGCCTAAAAATAAAGACAAAAATGCAGTAATGTCTAATGAAATATTAAGAAACATCTTATATTTTCTTTTTGAAATGCCTCTTACCCAAAGAGCAAGCACACAGTTTTTGTGGTTATTGATGTATAGGAAGGAGTATGTGAGAAGGAAAAAAAAGTAATTTAAGTCAGAAGCTCCTCAAAAAAATAGCAACAAAGGTTTAGGGCTAAGAAATTAAACATGCAAGAAAGGCAGAAATTCATATTTCTGTCAGAATTTTCACCTGATTCCTTGCATTTCAGTGGAGCTATTTCTCTTCTCTTACACACAGTATGAGACCTCACCTCATAAAAAAGTCCATCTGGGAACTGACGAAAACACTGAGCACAGACAAAGCAGTTTTCATGATACAGCTCCCCATTGCTGTTCACAATCCTCTCTGCAGGGTCAAATCGAGTCTGGCAGCGTTCACATACCGCATTTGCGAGAGCATCAGACATATTACTGGAATAAAGACAAGAGTAAGAACATGAGCGATGTCACAGCCAATCACATGAGTATAATCATATCATCCCAGGTTTTTCCAACATCTGTGAACACAACATTTCCACTGCTTTAAACTCTGCTTTACATGTAAAAAAAAAAGACCAATGAGTCAATTCAGCACTGACATCAGTTAGAAATAATGTTCTTACAACCCACATGTGGCAGAATGAGCTCATGAAGTAGACTTACCTATTGCATGCTTTTGGCAGTTTCACCAGTCTTTCACCCCAATATGTCATCCTGCTAGTAGCTCATACCAAATATCCACAATTTTAAATAAATCAGTAGTCCGGAAAGCAGCAAACACAACGATTTTGGCTTCTTGGGATTTCTGGTCTCAGGATGTGCACCTCCAAGTATTTTCTGATGTGTAATAAACACTGATATCCCACTGCAGTCTCCCCTTCACTGTCGGAACTAACAGGGCATTTCCCCCTCTACCCAGCAGCTTATATGCACAAGATTCATTGGAAAATAATTGCATACAATGTCTCTGTCTTCCTGATTAATTAGCTGAAACTGTCAGTGTTAAAACGGTACGGGAAGAGAGAATTCTCCCTGGCTGGCTTGGCAAATTCATCAGCTTCATTTCCTCAAAAAGTGAGGCTGAAAAACCCCCAAAGACATACTCACAAATCGTGTAAAGGAAGCTTCCTCTGTCTCCCCTAAAATGCGGAACGACCCTAACCGCTTTAACAAAATTTTCATGCTTGCCATCATGGTAATCTAAGTTGTCTACATACTAAGAGAATGCAGTTTTAAAATAGTTTATCGCATGTCCAAGCAGGGAGGGAAAAATTATAAGGAAAAAAGTCTCAAGTTTCTTGTGGCAAAGCAATCTTTCTTTTAACCACCAGACTATCCAATAATATAAAAATTCAATATTGCTACACTTTTAGATATAGAAAAACTATTTTATGCCTTCTGAGCACCTTCTGAATTCTATGATTGGAAAGATAGCAGTTTTATAGGTGGGAGTATAAAGAATTTCCAGCATGTTAAAAATCCCCGAAATATTTGTGTACTAGTTTTCCTGAAGCACATAACATATGTGCAAAATGAAAGATGGCTTGATTTAAAAGGGTTTTTTTTCTTTCTTTTTATATTCAAATCTACTCTGAACTGAATTTCCATCATTAGTGTTATTCTACAAGCTGACCTGCTACTTTCCACACCTCTTCATAGAGAACAGGAATTCAATAGGCATGTTCCAGTAGCAGAAGATTCTCCTTCTTCTGGTCAGAGACACTCCTACAGAAACACGCCATCATTTGTATTCTAGGGCTTTGTGCTCCAAGCACGACTAGAAC